CATCCCAGCCAAGCAGAAACCGCGAACAACGGAGGAAGCCAAACTCAACAATTCCCTTCTGTTAGGTACGCAACACCGGCCCCGGATCCGTCCATCGAGGAAATAAATGCCCGTGAAAGAAACCGAGGCGGATAGTAGGTATGTAGTTGGATGCGCGAGCATGGAGCCTACAAACACTAGCTATCCGAACGCCACTCATACGCCGAACGTCAGTAAACCCGATAATGTCAATCGTAGAACTATTCAGTTTCCCGAAGGGAAAGAACTGTTAGAGACGGACAAAACCGAGCCAAAGCCGCACAAGCGCGAAAACAATCGAGCCACGGACGATTCCCTCCGAGAAAAAAAAAATCGGGTCGCCGGAAAACTGGCCGGAAAATTTTCCCGGCGACGGACCGGCGGCCGAGCCGGTACTCGGACACCGTCGACCATGCACCACCATCCCCTCGATCGCAGCCCATCCCATCCCATCCCGCTGTACGACCCATCCCACGCCCATTCCAACCCCAAAGAGTCGCACCCCCCTATATATACCTTATGCCATTTTTGGGATTTCCACCAGTATACATTGAAATGTCTGAGCAGTCACTGGGGGTCTAGAAAAAAAACTACATGGAATTTTAATCTGATTTTTTGCGTGCTTCATAAGGGTGATATAAACTACTTCCAGTAAAAATTTCAGAATTTTCTGAGCACTCTAACTATTTCTTTTGTAATTTAGCAAACTCGGATGATCCCGGTCCAGCCCGAGGTCCTCGGGAGCTTTTGAGTGTCCAGTGTCATTCTAAACTCTTTATTGGTCTATTTTAAGAGTTTTGATCGTGGAAAACCGGAAAACGGACGGAGAAAAATCGAATCAGTACGGTGACAAGTGTTCTGGCCGACGGAAATGCGCGCCAGTCCGTCCGATGGCCGACGAAAATGCGCGTCAGTCCGTCCGATGGCCGACGGTTCTGACCTTACGGTCGATCATAATTTTTTTTTCGATTTTTTCATTTTCTCCCACTCTGAAAACCTTCTAACCACGATCTTAAGAGTTTTTATCGTGGAAAATCTGAGATTAAGAAGTAATTGCTTCTTGTACAGGTTGTGTATGAATCGGTTGTAACTATAGAATCCCCCCATTTCGTGAATTACGGCATTTATTCGAGTGATCCATAAGCGACGAAAATCCCTTTTTCTTTTACCCTATCCCGATGAGCCGAAACTAAAGCTCTTATTCTCTGTTGAGTCATAGTTCGTGTAAGTCGTGAATGAGCCCCTCGAAAGCTTGATGCAAACAAACGAAGTTTTGTTCTACGCCTCCGAGCTATATATCCGCGTTTAATTCTAGTCATTGAATAAATCAAACTTTGATGAATAACTAATTCTTTTTTTAGTTATTCTTTTCACCTTTACTAGTCATTAATAACCAAACGAATTATTCCAATGTATAAAAAAAAATTCCAACGGCTTTTGCTACTCTAACCTTCCCCACCACTATTTTTTGCTAGGTATTTTCCTTTGCTTTGAAAGGAGAAATTGCCTTGATAGCTTAATAAATAAAAAAAGAATAACTACAAGTAGTAAATAGAACTGAATAAATAGGGGGTTCCATCGTTTCTATGGTTACTTCTAAAACGGTGAGGTCCTCTCTATACACCGGAGCTCCTTCTTTTAATTAATCAATACTATTGGTAACTTGTACAATTCACATTCTTTCGCTCTACCCCATGAATATTCCAGTAATTAGGTCTTTCACACTGAGATCCACTTTATACAGTAACGGTATTTCATTTTTAAAATTTATTTCGTCGTTTACCCTGTTAGTCCGTTCTTTTCTTTCAAGGGTGGAATCTTTTTAATACAAAATGGAATTTCCCCCGCTTAATGGATAACCATTTGTTATCATTGGGGGTTTTCTAAAAAATGGAGTTGATTGGATTTGCACCAATGGAAACCATAAGTTTCAGACACAATAGAAGATATGAACGATCTATCTTTTTGAAATAATGAATCGAGTTCCTCCATTGTATTTTATTCACAGGTACTGATCCTTAGATATTTCAAAAAGAATTTCCTTTTTGTGTTTCAGTCTATGATCTAAACGCGTCGCACATACACCCGAGTACATGTTCCTCGTCGCTGAGGGCATCCCCGAAGCGCTGGGGATTTCGTAACATTTCGGATTGGCTGTCTTGTATTTCTAATAAGTTGTTTAATGGTTGGCATACAGAATCATATAAATAATGGGCTGGTTTAGATTGGTTCTAACCGGCTAATTCTGAATTACTTTTCGTCAAGATTCTCTTCAATATTAAAAAAAATATATTGAAGATAATATGAAACTAAACCTTTAATCTAAAACGATATAAAATTAGCAAGTGTAGATTTGTATGAAATAGCTCCTATTTTTTATTGAACCGCTACAAGATCAACAATTCCATGAGCTTGGGCTTCTGTTGCTGACATAAAAACATCCCTTTCCATGTCTTCGGATACAACCCATATCGGTTTGCCCGTTCTTTGTACATAAACCCTTGTGATGGTTTCGCGAATTTTTAGTAGTTCTTCGCTTCCAAGATAAATTCTCCCGTTTTTGTCTCATAAAACGAACTCGCGGGTTGATGGATCATTACCCTGATGATACAATAGAAAAGGTTCTTCTATTTCCCAGAATGAGACGAGATAACAAAAAAAAGAGAAAATTGAATAACCGTACAGGCTTTTTTTGTGCATTGCATACGGCTCCACAATGGAATTTACGTTTTTGATCTTTCCTTTTGGAGAAAGAAAAAAAATATAGGTTGTATTATACGCGGATCCATAAACGATCCAATTACCATCCTTCTTTTTTTTTTTTGCGTTCAAAACAAAAATACTATGATGGTTCCGTTGCTTTATATATCATTTTTTTGATTCGTCTATGATTCAGCAATCCCAAAGTTTCTTTTTTTTTTTTCGATATATAAATTTTAAAAATAAGCTTCCGGTGTGAAAACATAGTTTGTGACGCTGAGATGTGTCCGAATAGGTAAGATATCATTTGAAATACCCCTTTCCTTATCTCATACTACTCTTTCAATATATAATCTAATTTTTTTTAATCTCAAAAATTTCATATTGAATTCGAAGTGCCATGCTATTATTACTTAACTAATTCATATTTCCGATGGCGAAGGCATAGTATTTTTTTATTGAAAATCAAAAAACTCATTGGCGCCGAGCGTGAGGGAATGCTATACGTTTGGTAATTGCCCCCCCGACTAGGATAAAGGATGCTATTGAAGCGGCCAATCCCATGCATATTGTCTGTACATCGGGTCGCACAAATTGCATAGTATAATAAATAGCCATTCCAGATATTACCCACCCACCAGGAGAGTTTATAAACAAATAAAGATCTTTGGTATCCTTTTCTATACTGAGATATATCATGAGACTAATAAGTTGATTCGAGATTTCGGTATCAACCTCTTGGCCTAAAAAAAATAATCTTTCTCGATAAAGTCGGTTGATTAGGATAAAATTTTATTCCTTAGGAGCCGTACAGGCACCTTTTGATACATACGGTTCACCAAAAATTGTGAAAAAATCAATGTGTCGATTCCAACCCCCCCCTTTTTTCATAGAAGGTTTTTCTTTCTAATTTCTAAGGGAAGGGCTTGCTCCCCTTTTAAAAGTAAAAGAAAAAAGAAGTTTTGACCCCGTTTATTAGATATTATAATCCTATACTAAAATGATTGATTACGCCTGTCAGACTAACTTGATTCATTGATATTTTTTTTCATCGAGATTCAGTTGAAATGGCGATGGTTTTTTCTTGTTCCTGAACGGGCTTCTTCCTTTTTTTCTTCCATTTTTTAGGTTTATGCTCTACCCCGAGTAAAAGGAAAAATTTGCCCGATTTTGATTTGCACATATAGGACAAATGAACCAAATACCGCGTTTTTTTTTACTACTTCCTTTTTTTTTTCAATTAATTTCTTTCACATGTCTTCTGTCAAATAGTCAACAAATTTTTAAGTATATTATTTATTTGATTTTATCAACAGTTTTAGATCACCCTGTTTCAATTTTTTGTATTTTTGAATAGAATTTTTTGATCATAATTTTGCATATCATATAAGTAGTAATTATAAAAATATTATATATTAATTATCAATTGGGTTTTTGCTAAACGGAGCCTGGATACTTAATTTTATTAGTCCGATCACGTAAACCATAAAAAAAATTGATAATCTAATATCAATCTAAATACTCCCTGCATTTAATTCCACTTTATTTTTTGTGCTTCGCGTTACAAATTTTTGATAATTCAATCAATCTTTTTGGGCAAAACAGAGGATATCTCGATCGAGGGAGAAAACGGGGAAATCCCATATAGCCCAATATATCTGACAAGTCGCACTATATGTCAACCCAAGATGTATCTCCTTCTCCAGGACTTCTAAAAGGTACTTTTGGAACGCCAATAGGCATGAAATGAAAAAAAAGAGAATGAAGTTCTCTATTTCACTTTGATGTGGAAACGTAAGACTGCGGTTTCATTTTTTAATAGTATTATCCTTTTTTCCTACTTTTTTTTTATTATATTTAATACATAAGTTGAATAAGCTAAAATAAAATATAAAGTAAAGGAAGAGAGAATCAATAAAAATCAAGGAAATTTTTTACGAACGGGCTTCTGAATGATGAACAACAATAACTATCTCGGTTCATATAAAATCGGATTCACCCCCATTGCGTATTGGTACTTATCGGATATAGAATAGATCCGCTTCCCTTTTTTCCTATGAATCGAATTGTTCTATTATTACTAACAGAATAGAACAAATATTAATCCTTTCTCCGAAATAATTACCTAAAAAGGGGGGGTCCGTAAAATCGTTTTTTCCAATGCAATAAAGTTACATAGTGTCTATTTTTCGTTGATAGAGGGGTATTTCCATGGGTTTGCCTTGGTATCGTGTTCATACTGTTGTATTGAATGATCCGGTCGTTTGCTTTCTGTTCATATAATGCATACTGCTCTGGTTGCTGGTTGGGCCGGTTCGATGGCTCTATATGAATTAGCAGTTTTTGATCCTTCCGACCCCGTTCTTGATCCAATGTGGAGACAAGGTATGTTCGTTATACCTTTCATGACTCGTTTAGGAATAACCAATTCGTGGGGCGGTTGGAATATTACAGGAGGGACTATAACGAACCCGGGTCTTTGGAGTTACGAAGGGGTCGCCGGAGCACATATCGTGTTTTCTGGCTTGTGCTTCTTGGCAGCTATTTGGCATTGGGTATATTGGGATCTAGAAATTTTTTGTGATGAACGTACAGGAAAACCTTCTTTGGATTTGCCCAAGATTTTTGGAATTCATTTATTTCTTTCAGGAGTGGCTTGCTTTGGTTTTGGCGCATTTCATGTAACAGGATTATATGGTCCTGGAATATGGGTATCTGACCCTTACGGACTAACCGGAAAGGTCCAACCTGTAAATCCGGCGTGGGGCGTCGAGGGGTTTGACCCTTTTGTTCCGGGAGGAATAGCTTCTCATCATATTGCAGCAGGGACGTTGGGTATATTAGCGGGCTTATTTCATCTTAGTGTTCGTCCGCCTCAACGTCTATCACGAAAAGTGGTTGGTGGCAGCATACGGCCTCACGGTCTTCCAGCTACGCATTTTGGAAGTTTCAGATAGAAATACAGAAAAAAATTAACAAAAAAAGGGGTGCAACACGAGGACTTCCCGGGAGGTCACCCATCCTAGTACTACTCTCGCCCAAGCACGCTTAACTGCGGAGTTCTGATGGGATCCGGTGCATTAGTGCTGGTATGATCGCACCCATTTGTTTATGACGCGCAAACGCATATATGCCTTTCCGAGAGGATCTTGAACGTTTATTCGGCGGCGTAGGCCCCACTTGATGCTTAGGCCCGATCCGGAGTCCTAAGTGACCCTTATGTGAGAGGGAGGATGGATGCATCCAAAAAACACTATGCATAGCACTTTCGATTCATTGATTTTGTGTCCGCACCAGAAAACGGCCCGGAAAAGCGTCCAAACGCCATTTTTTGGGGTCCAAACGATATTTTACGCCTAGAGCTCTTTTGGAGCTTCACGAAAAGTGGTTGGTGGCAGCATACGGCCTCACGGTCTTCCAGCTACGCATTTTGGAAGTTTCAGATAGAAATACAGAAAAAAATTAACAAAAAAAGGGGTGCAACACGAGGACTTCCCGGGAGGTCACCCATCCTAGTACTACTCTCGCCCAAGCACGCTTAACTGCGGAGTTCTGATGGGATCCGGTGCATTAGTGCTGGTATGATCGCACCCATTTGTTGATGACGCGCAAACGCATATATGCCTTTCCGAGAGGATCTTGAACGTTTATTCGGCGGCGTAGGCCCCACTTGATGCTTAGGCCCGATCCGGAGTCCTAAGTGACCCTTATGTGAGAGGGAGGATGGATGCATCCAAAAAACACTATGCATAGCACTTTCGATTCATTGATTTGTGTCCGCACCAGAAAACGGCCCGGAAAAGCGTCCAAACGCCATTTTTTGGGGTCCAAACGATTTTACGCCTAGAGCTCTTTTGGAGCTTCACGAAAAGTGGTTGGTGGCAGCATACGGCCTCACGGTCTTCCAGCTACGCATTTTGGAAGTTTCAGATAGAAATACAGAAAAAAATTAACAAAAAAAGGGGTGCAAACACGAGGACTTCCCGGGAGGTCACCCATCCTAGTACTACTCTCACCCACGCACGCTTGACTGCGGAGTTCTGATGGGATCCGGTGCATTAGTGCTGGTATGATCGCACCCGTTTGTTTATGACGCGCATACGCATATATGCCTTTCCGAGAGGATCTTGAACGTTTATTCGGCGGCGTAGGCCCCACTTGATGCTTAGGCCCGATCGGGAGTCCTAAGTGACCCTTATGTGAGAGGGACGGATAAACACCATGACCTTCCTCGGGAAGAAATCCAAGAGCACGAACCGCAGGATGAGGATCCTGAACAACGCATCCGCACCAGTTTATCACTCTTGTAGTTCCATTCCCATCTCTTTTATCAGTTCCAACTACGAGCTCTATTTCTCGGCCCTGCATAACGAACAAGTGTCTGAGCATTATAAACTAGTAGACTTTCTTTATCTTCACCTAAACTATTAGTGTCAATAAACTCAAATAAAGGATAGGAACTATATAGTCAAAGCTGGTGTGATCAATTGACACAAGGAGACTAAGGTGATAACGGAGAAACAAATAACGAATAACATGTCTCAAGAAACAGGAGGTAATGGTGTCACCTGACGAAGGATTGTTAGATTGAGATTGTCATCGCTGTAGCTACCCTTATCCAATGCTCGGCAAGCGGCTTCAATGTCACTGAAGCATGTAACTGGCATCTGATTGACTGCCAGAACCATGTCGCCTTGTTCTAGAAGATTTTCAGCTTTCGATCCTGCCAGGCAACCTTTAACACGCAGAACTTGTCGTCTAACCGGATCCTTCTTCACTAGGATCTGCAAGAAAAATCAATAGTGTAAATCGATTTGAGAATACATACTGTTAGCAGACTGACATTCTGTCAAAGTTATGGTTATGCATAAAGGGTTTACACATTCTGAAAGACGTGTATACTGATATGATAAAGAAGTATATAAACAACACAAGGCTTACTTGGATCCATTCATCACTCAGACCAAAACTCCGGGCTTTTGAAAGCAAAGTAGGATACAGCTCAACTTCCAAAATTCGAACAAGTGGCATTGGCCTTTTGACACCATTTATGAGAAGAGCTGGTCCATTTCCACCGCTTATGATTTTTTCAAGGACTTGGCTGATCGCATAGACCGGGATACCTCTGACAAACTGATGGTCTTCTGACGAAGTGGAACTATATTTAATCTGTGATCAATCCACAAGAAAGTAGCATGTTAGAGGAAAACACACAAAAGTTATGTAAATTGCAAAGTAGGAAGATGAACCTGAGTCGAAAAGCTTCCCCAAATGGCCCGAATCCTCCCCTGCTCATCAGTCAGCGCCCCTGAAAATGAGCTACCAAAATCTGCCGAGAGACAAGAAAAAAACAAAGTGAGATTTTCAACAGATCCATAAGTACCTAAATTTTAATGTCAAATGCTCTGCATTCCTTACCAGTATCAAGCTCGATTACTTCCATATTTGTAGCTCTGTAGCGGGGAGAATCAGCAGATCCAATGTTTAATGCTGCACATGGATTGGTTACAATAGATTTTCTTGATGTGGCTTGAAGGTTCCTACTCAATCCGACAAGATAAACTGACTCTCCACGTTGCAGTGCAGGCTCTGTTCAGACAACACATTGCAACATGAACTCGTTCATTTGACAAGATTATAATACCAAAGGTGCTTTGGTACAGATTTGTACTGACATACCAGGTAGTAGCTCAGCTGCACGAATGACTGAAGCACTGGCAGGGCCCAATGCTGACGGATTATACGCAATAAGAGCATAGTTGTGAACAGGATGAAGAAATACCACCTGCATTTCAGTTANAAATACAAAATAAGATTTATGGCTACACAAACTGTTGAAGATAGTTCTAGATCGGGTCCAAGAAGCACTACTGTGGGGAAGTTATTGAAACCATTGAATTCCGAATATGGTAAAGTAGCTCCTGGATGGGGAACCACCCCTTTGATGGGTGTTGCAATGGCTCTATTTGCGGTATTCCTATCCATTATTTTGGAGATTTATAATTCTTCTGTTCTACTGGATGGAATTTCAGTGAATTAGACTGAGAAGAATCTTGAAGTCCTAGCTTTTAGTTCGATACAAAAAATGAAAGTATGTAGGTCTAAAAATTTTAGCCTATTCTCCTTTGGTAGTTCGACCGCGAAATTTTTTCTGCATTGTATATTTCCGGAATATGAGTGTGTGACTTGTTAGAATTGACCCTATGGATAGTACAGAGAATGGGGTCTGTCATCTTTATCAAGATGGTTTTACTTCGTCGGATATTCATTCGAGTATCTGAAGCACGAAATGGATCAAATAGATCACAAAGTATTCGAACTATGATTCATACTTAATACTCAGACCTCGTAGCCGGACTTCTTTCCGTTCTATCTTAGAAACTTTAATAAATCAAAATCTTTTCTGCTTTTAAACTCTTATTTGGATCAAAGGACAAATGCTTCTTTGTATTTGATTTTTTTAGTGTTATTTTAGTTAGTTTTTTGATTGAATAAGTGATGATCCAACGGTTCTCACTCAGTGAACTTTTGGCTTTGAAGGTTTCATTGAATTATCGTGGTTCTCGTATGAATCTGAGGTTTCAATTGATTAGTTAAATAGGGTCTTAACAAGAGAATTCCTATCAATAATAAAGAAAACAAGAAGAAATCCGCATTCCCATTCCATACAAATACCAAATAAAAAAAACAATAAAGATAGCAATCGAGAAGATTCAAGAAGCCAGTACAACATAAAAACGGAAAAGCGTCCAAACGCCATTTTTTGGGGTCCAAACGATATTTTACGCCTAGAGCTCTTTTGGAGCTTCACGAAAAGTGGTTGGTGGCAGCATACGGCCTCACGGTCTTCCAGCTACGCATTTTGGAAGTTTCAGATAGAAATACAGAAAAAAATTAACAAAAAAAGGGGTGCAACACGAGGACTTCCCGGGAGGTCACCCATCCTAGTACTACTCTCGCCCAAGCACGCTTACTGCGGAGTTCTGATGGGATCCGGTGCATTAGTGCTGGTATGATCGCACCCGTTTGTTTATGACGCGCAAACGCATATATGCCTTTCCGAGAGGATCTTGAACGTTTATTCGGCGGCGTAGGCCCCACTTGATGCTTAGGCCCGATCCGGAGTCCTAAGTGACCCTTATGTGAGAGGGAGGATGGATGCATCCAAAAAACACTATGCATAGCACTTTCGATTCATTGATATTGTGTCCGCACCAGAAAACGGCCCGGAAAAGCGTCCAAACGCCATTTTTTGGGGTCCAAACGATATTTTACGCCTAGAGCTCTTTTGGAGCTTCACGAAAAGTGGTTGGTGGCAGCATACGGCCTCACGGTCTTCCAGCTACGCATTTTGGAAGTTTCAGATAGAAATACAGAAAAAAATTAACAAAAAAAGGGGTGCAACACGAGGACTTCCCGGGAGGTCACCCATCCTAGTACTACTCTCGCCCAAGCACGCTTAACTGCGGAGTTCTGATGGGATCCGGTGCATTAGTGCTGGTATGATCGCACCCGTTTGTTTATGACGCGCAAACGCATATATGCCTTTCCGAGAGGATCTTGAACGTTTATTCGGCGGCGTAGGCCCCACTTGATGCTTAGGCCCGATCCGGAGTCCTAAGTGACCCTTATGTGAGAGGGAGGATGGATGCATCCAAAAAACACTATGCATAGCACTTTCGATTCATTGATTTTGTGTCCGCACCAGAAAACGGCCCGGAAAAGCGTCCAAACGCCATTTTTTGGGGTCCAAACGATATTTTACGCCTAGAGCTCTTTTGGAGCTTCACGAAAAGTGGTTGGTGGCAGCATACGGCCTCACGGTCTTCCAGCTACGCATTTTGGAAGTTTCAGATAGAAATACAGAAAAAAATTAACAAAAAAAGGGGTGCAACACGAGGACTTCCCGGGAGGTCACCCATCCTAGTACTACTCTCGCCCAAGCACGCTTAACTGCGGAGTTCTGATGGGATCCGGTGCATTAGTGCTGGTATGATCGCACCCATTTGTTTATGACGCGCAAACGCATATATGCCTTTCCGAGAGGATCTTGAACGTTTATTCGGCGGCGTAGGCCCCACTTGATGCTTAGGCCCGATCCGGAGTCCTAAGTGACCCTTATGTGAGAGGGAGGATGGATGCATCCAAAAAACACTATGCATAGCACTTTCGATTCATTGATTTTGTGTCCGCACCAGAAAACGGCCCGGAAAAGCGTCCAAACGCCATTTTTTGGGGTCCAAACGATATTTTACGCCTAGAGCTCTTTTGGAGCTTCACGAAAAGTGGTTGGTGGCAGCATACGGCCTCACGGTCTTCCAGCTACGCATTTTGGAAGTTTCAGATAGAAATACAGAAAAAAATTAACAAAAAAAGGGGTGCAACACGAGGACTTCCCGGGAGGTCACCCATCCTAGTACTACTCTCGCCCAAGCACGCTTAACTGCGGAGTTCTGATGGGATCCGGTGCATTAGTGCTGGTATGATCGCACCCGTTTGTTTATGACGCGCAAACGCATATATGCCTTTCCGAGAGGATCTTGAACGTTTATTCGGCGGCGTAGGCCCCACTTGATGCTTAGGCCCGATCCGGAGTCCTAAGTGACCCTTATGTGAGAGGGAGGATGGATGCATCCAAAAAACACTATGCATAGCACTTTCGATTCATTGATTTTGTGTCCGCACCAGAAAACGGCCCGGAAAAGCGTCCAAACGCCATTTTTTGGGGTCCAAACGATATTTTACGCCTAGAGCTCTTTTGGAGCTTCACGAAAAGTGGTTGGTGGCAGCATACGGCCTCACGGTCTTCCAGCTACGCATTTTGGAAGTTTCAGATAGAAATACAGAAAAAAATTAACAAAAAAAGGGGTGCAACACGAGGACTTCCCGGGAGGTCACCCATCCTAGTACTACTCTCGCCCAAGCACGCTTAACTGCGGAGTTCTGATGGGATCCGGTGCATTAGTGCTGGTATGATCGCACCCGTTTGTTTATGACGCGCAAACGCATATATGCCTTTCCGAGAGGATCTTGAACGTTTATTCGGCGGCGTAGGCCCCACTTGATGCTTAGGCCCGATCCGGAGTCCTAAGTGACCCTTATGTGAGAGGGAGGATGGATGCATCCAAAAAACACTATGCATAGCACTTTCGATTCATTGATTTTGTGTCCGCACCAGAAAACGGCCCGGAAAAGCGTCCAAACGCCATTTTTTGGGGTCCAAACGATATTTTACGCCTAGAGCTCTTTTGGAGCTTCACGAAAAGTGGTTGGTGGCAGCATACGGCCTCACGGTCTTCCAGCTACGCATTTTGGAAGTTTCAGATAGAAATACAGAAAAAAATTAACAAAAAAAGGGGTGCAACACGAGGACTTCCCGGGAGGTCACCCATCCTAGTACTACTCTCGCCCAAGCACGCTTAACTGCGGAGTTCTGATGGGATCCGGTGCATTAGTGCTGGTATGATCGCACCCGTTTGTTTATGACGCGCAAACGCATATATGCCTTTCCGAGAGGATCTTGAACGTTTATTCGGCGGCGTAGGCCCCACTTGATGCTTAGGCCCGATCCGGAGTCCTAAGTGACCCTTATGTGAGAGGGAGGATGGATGCATCCAAAAAACACTATGCATAGCACTTTCGATTCATTGATTTTGTGTCCGCACCAGAAAACGGCCCGGAAAAGCGTCCAAACGCCATTTTTTGGGGTCCAAACGATATTTTACGCCTAGAGCTCTTTTGGAGCTTCACGAAAAGTGGTTGGTGGCAGCATACGGCCTCACGGTCTTCCAGCTACGCATTTTGGAAGTTTCAGATAGAAATACAGAAAAAAATTAACAAAAAAAGGGGTGCAACACGAGGACTTCCCGGGAGGTCACCCATCCTAGTACTACTCTCGCCCAAGCACGCTTAACTGCGGAGTTCTGATGGGATCCGGTGCATTAGTGCTGGTATGATCGCACCCATTTGTTTATGACGCGCAAACGCATATATGCCTTTCCGAGAGGATCTTGAACGTTTATTCGGCGGCGTAGGCCCCACTTGATGCTTAGGCCCGATCCGGAGTCCTAAGTGACCCTTATGTGAGAGGGAGGATGGATGCATCCAAAAAACACTATGCATAGCACTTTCGATTCATTGATTTGTGTCCGCACCAGAAAACGGCCCGGAAAAGCGTCCAAACGCCATTTTTTGGGGTCCAAACGATATTTTACGCCTAGAGCTCTTTTGGAGCTTCACGAAAAGTGGTTGGTGGCAGCATACGGCCTCACGGTCTTCCAGCTACGCATTTTGGAAGTTTCAGATAGAAATACAGAAAAAAATTAACAAAAAAAGGGGTGCAACACGAGGACTTCCCGGGAGGTCACCCATCCTAGTACTACTCTCGCCCAAGCACGCTTAACTGCGGAGTTCTGATGGGATCCGGTGCATTAGTGCTGGTATGATCGCACCCGTTTGTTTATGACGCGCAAACGCATATATGCCTTTCCGAGAGGATCTTGAACGTTTATTCGGCGGCGTAGGCCCCACTTGATGCTTAGGCCCGATCCGGAGTCCTAAGTGACCCTTATGTGAGAGGGAGGATGGATGCATCCAAAAAACACTATGCATAGCACTTTCGATTCATTGATTTTGTGTCCGCACCAGAAAACGGCCCGGAAAAGCGTCCAAACGCCATTTTTTGGGGTCCAAACGATATTTTACGCCTAGAGCTCTTTTGGAGCTTCACGAAAAGTGGTTGGTGGCAGCATACGGCCTCACGGTCTTCCAGCTACGCATTTTGGAAGTTTCAGATAGAAATACAGAAAAAAATTAACAAAAAAAGGGGTGCAACACGAGGACTTCCCGGGAGGTCACCCATCCTAGTACTACTCTCGCCCAAGCACGCTTACTGCGGAGTTCTGATGGGATCCGGTGCATTAGTGCTGGTATGATCGCACCCGTTTGTTTATGACGCGCAAACGCATATATGCCTTTCCGAGAGG